CTTGAGGGGTAATACTATGCAACCGCGCCACATATACGTTACATCTGAGCTAAAATATCAATGTGAAAGTCTTAGAATAGACCCAGAACACAACACAACATTAAGAACAGATTATCAGCAAGGTATTTTTTTTATTGCGTGATAAGAGTCTTACAGCAGCACGTTAACTCCAATAAGGGCCCACCAAAAATTTTTAGTCATTAAATCTATACATTCTCAACTTCTTACCACTTTTCATGCATTTTCCCTCTTTGAGCTGGTACAATTTATCCACCAGATCAGCTACTTTTCTTCTAATTTTAGTTTCTTCTCTCTTTTCACCTAAAAATTGATTCTGACCGCCTCTATTCTGTTTTCTTTCACTCGTCTTCCACCCCAGCCTTTCTCCTTGCCTTGTTTGCTGCTCTCTGTTGCCCTCCTTCTGTCAGTGTGATTAGAGGAATGGAGGAGATCAGAAGGCAGAAAGCTGGACACACACCACTGACCTTTCCCCTCCCTTTTCTCTGCGGTGCTCCAGGATCACTTTCTCTTTTTGCTTTCTACATTTTCCACTTACGTAGTTTTTTTTTGACTAATCTGTTTCTTTCTCAGAAAGACTGAGAGAAAAGGCTGCAACCAAGCCAAATGCATTGTGAGACCTGTGTTAAACTGAAACTACCATAAATCCTCTAATATTAGCCTGTATTTAATTAACTGCCGGGTATCATATTTTGGCCGGTGTCGGAGTCGGCGGAGGTGAATAATGGCCGTTTTTTATTGTGGCCGGGTGGAATAAGGTAACAAGCAAGTACGGGGGGCGGTTGTGTCATCCGTCTCACTTTTGATTTGCCAGTGATAGACCGCGAGGGTAACTTTAACCGTGCGGAGACGAAGAGGAGGCAAAAATTTGATATCAAGTTCAAAGAGAACGTGCTGATTATGCTGCAGAACACTCTGGGGAGCAGTAGGGGTTGTATGAACTAGTCACTAGTCGACTTCATCGCTCTATAGTGACTTGTTATGCCTGTCATCGACTAGTCGCTGTCACGTGATAATGACCAGCAAGATGCAGTCCGCGGAAAAGACAGCAGCCTGCTCTCAGCAGGTGACAAGCTCCTGCGCGTCGGGAGGCAACGCGCTGTGCCAGAGCGTCGGTACCGACACCCGCCATAAAACGGACATTTAACCAAATTGTGACGTTTACCCTCTTGCAATTTAACCTTCCCCTCACCCCATCCTAACCTTAACCAGCTTGCGCATGCAAAGCTCTGATTGTTGACGCGCTCCAGACATCTGCGTCCTGAGCACGGCCACAGTAACGTTATCAAATCAGGTGTCGCCACCTCAAAAACTAATTTAACACGCGATCGTTCATGTCGGCTCATTTCCTTTTATGTTTTCTGTCTTTTATTCTTTTATTTGTGTCTGATGCGTTTCGCTGCTGCGGACCAGGGCGCATCACCTGTTTTGTCCTCGGTGACGCACCTAACTGATGTGACCGGCGAGCACTCCGCTGTTTGATGTCGGTAGATCTTTTAGAACTGCAGTTCAAAGGTAACTCATAAGGTGAATATATATGAACCCAGGTAGCAGTTTTTCTTTAGGATTGAGAGGAGATGCAGGAAGATAATAAACAGGCAGGACAGAAAAATAGTCAAATAAAAACAAGTTAGTTTTTGTATCTGGTGGTTGCAACAAACAGACACCATTGAAGGTAATCAGAAGTGAGGAACAGAAAATGAAATAATTATTTTAATGTTTAGAGCAGCAGGAACTCCGAGAGGCTGCAGGCACATCAGTGAGTTTGCGGTCGCTGCTTAGGGGGAGGGGGAGAGGGCTGAAGCAGAAACTACCGTTGTTAAAAGAAATGTGTTTAACTTTGAAAATGTGGGCGCAAAATTGCCAAAAATTCCAGCGAACCATTAGTTCATTTTGCTCAAATAGAAATTGAGGCCTGCCTCTAATTCTGGTCCTTCTTCCAGTAAAGGTCTGGAGCTTGATGAGCTTGAGTCAAATACAGGCCCGGGCCTGTATTAGAGGATTTACGGTATTTGCCTGCAGAGAGTCTTTAATGGTAGAGGGATGATGCATGATGTGGTTTAGGCGTGCTGCCAGGCCACATCTCAGTTTCACATCTAGTTTCTAACAATTCTCCAAAAGATGTTTTATATTTTTATTGTCGTTTTTTTAAAAAGCTCATCTGCTGAAGCCAAATTTTGGATTTGGAATGAAAAGAAAAAAAATACATGGAATTTGTTTTGTAAATAATGGGTGACATGCTGTAAGTAGCAGTTCAAATGAACCACACTGATCAGATAAATGAAACAAAAGCTTTTAGATGATAAAGTTTCAATGTTTTCAAATTACTTTTCAGTTTTTCTTTTACTGTCATAATTTTCTGAGTACGAGAGAAAAAATACCTTTAACTTAGCAGTGGTTCAAACATGTAGTTTGTGACTTCCTGTTTTATTTTGAAAGTCTTTTTGCTTATGCGTCATGCTAACTTTATTTGTATTTTGTGATCTACTCCCAGCACCTTTGCTTGCTTCTTGCTGAATGTTGCTGGTCTTGTCACATAAATATGGTGGCTCATCGAGTTCAATGAAATAGAAATGCTGAATTAGTTTATTTCGTAGTGTTGACATATTGTCATGGCTTTTTGTCATAGTATTGTGGCTTTTTTGTGGTAATGGTTTGAGTTTATGTCGTAGTGTTGTGGCTTTTTATTTTAGTGTCATGGCTTTTGTTGATGTATCATGGCATTTTATTGTAGTGTAACTTTTTGTTGTGCCTCTGTCAGTGTGCCCCATGGCAGCTGTGGTTACATAGTAGCTCATCACCATCATTGTGTGAATGTGTGTGTGAATGGATGAATGAAACACTGTAGTGTAAAGCACTTTGGAGTCCTCTTATTCTGAAAGACGCTATACAAGTGGGGGTCATTTATCATTTATTATTTTCGTTGTGTTGTGGCTTTTTGTCATAATGTTGTGAGTTTATGTTGTAGTGTGGTGGCTTTTTATTTTAGTGTCATGGCTTTTGTTGAAGTGTGATGGCTTCTTTTTCTTTAAGATGCGTTGTGACTTGTATTTAGTTAAACCGTACAGGTGGCCATGTTTAACAGGATATCTCTTTAAAACTGGTCTTGTGTTAAAGACGAATAGCCATACCTTATCTGCAGTAGACAGCAGTGAGTGTGCTCTCACATTGGCGTTTCAGAGTGGAATTCCCAAGAGAAATCAAGCTAACCAGAACAATGATTAAATAACAGTAAGATAAAACCCCTTTAATGGCTATAGCCTGTTTTCTAGGCTAATCCACATTGTGTTATTAGCACCATGCTAGCAGGATCTTGTTGCATGTAACGTCATCTTTAGGTGGTCCAAGAGTTTAGCCACAGCTGTGGTTAAGCCTGGTCATCAACATGTGTGGAACAATCTTCATGGTACCCAGCAAATAGAACAATAAATATATTGATGTACAAGTTAAAAACATACAGGACTGTAGCTAGCATCATGGTGTTTCTCTCTGGACATTACATGGCTCTTACATAGTATGTGACGGTTCCTAACAATCGCTTTTTGACACCAAGGGTATGAACACTCAGGCTGTCGTCATATGAGCTGATAAACCCTGCCCTCTGTTCAAGATTTACTCTGTACATTTTGTCCTCTTTCCACCCTGTTCTCTGAGTCCCCACATGACCCTGTTCAACTCTTTTGTTCCTCCTCACCTCCCAACCTCACTCTCTCCTCCATGTGTCTTTACCTTCCCAGCTTTCTTTAATCCACTAATCACATGGGAAAACCAGCTGAGATCCAAAGAATTGACCCCCAGGAATGCTCTCATGAGCGATTAACTTCTTTACGTGCATTCATACACTCAGTGGCTTGTCGGTGTCCATCATGAGGCATTTTTAATGTTACATATATTGATAAATCTAAATATTTAGAACTAGATCTAAACAAAAAAAGTTGCATTTAAATATAAAATAAAAATGTGGGGATGTTTTGCAAACATGCAAATTGTGATTGCTTTAAAACAAATGTAGTTTAACACAAAGAAATGTATAAAAGCAGGATGAAAATCCGTTATCTAACATCTCAGAATTCATTTAAGGAAAGAGTGTTAGGCTACTGGGAGTGAGAACGTATGAGAATAATGGTCAAAATAACTCCAGTAACTTACCATCAGAGGGACTCTGAGATGCTATATAGTGGATTTCTTCACCCTAGCTTTTTTAATTAAATTTTATTTTATTTTTTCTGGGGGTGTGATCTGACAACAGTTTCTGCTTTTATCAGTTTTCGTTCTAGCTAAAAATTATGTTTTAAACCACCATATTTATTGTTTGTTTAGATTTCAATATTTCAATTGAGATGTTTATACTTGGATTCAATTAGTAATATTTAGATTTAGATTTAGATTTTCAGTTTTCATACAGAATATTATGATTTTACTTATTACACACTCATATTAGACTCAAAATATTTAGATGTAAACTTATACATTTAGATTTAAATCTAAAGAACTATTTAATATAATATAAAAATTATTAAATTAAATATGGAAAGAAAGGGATCCTGAAACGTTCGCACCTATTTATGCTTTCGTGAGGAGCTAAATGAGGCCAAATGTAGTTAGTTTTAATAATTCTCTTTAAAAAATATAACTTTACAATCAGCACCTCATATATTTCATGCATCCATTAACTGACCCAGGAACATTGGTCTCTGTGTGTAATGAAATTGTGGGTAGTTAGCTTAACATTAACAATCATGGTTAGCTCAAGATAATGGAAAAGCCTTTGATTTTAAGATAAAACTCAACAAGAGTAGACGGATAATGTTTGTAACTTTCATAGAGACACCAGAAAACCTTTGTTTATGTATGTCACTGCCACACCAACGTGACCTGTCCTCTTTGACTTCATTCTGTTGGATTGATTTCAAATTTTCATGAATCCACTTGTGTCTTGTGATAGTCCGTATTTTCTAACTTGTGTTGCTGATTTCTTGCAGGGCGACACGTCTAACGAGCCATGTGGAGGCCTGGACTGCAGTGGAGGCTGCAAGTGTTTCCCAGAGAAAGGCGGCAGGGTGAGTCTTTATGTTTCAAACAGCCCAAAAGCTTTTTGCATTCAATTAAAGGAGAAATAATCAAACCCATACTTTTCAGCAATGAACACAGATTTATTTAAAACCTTTCCAAGTTCTTGCAATCAAATAGCATCAATCATACCCTCATTTCATATTAAGAGTCAAACAGTCATTAAGTATAATCTTGTGGTTGTGGGGTTATTTCAAACACAGCAACTTGTTGTCTTATCTCTTCATATTTGATACTTACTGAATGACAAACAATGAAGTTGTTTGATTTGAAATACATTTCTTCTACTTAAAATATTAGAATACAACATTTTGGAGTTTTTTCAGCTTGAAATCTTTATTTACTATTTAAAAAATGCAGTTTAAAGATGTTGTGGTTGTGTTTGACTGTGTTTCTTTATGTGATTATATATGGTTAGATGGTATTTGTGTAGGTTTGTATTTATTTTCTGCACATAAGTGTCCACATGCACAAGTGTGGTTTAACACTTATAGTAGGTGATAAAATTAAAAACTTTCAAATACTTTTAGAAGTTTTTCAGTATAGTTAGCGATATTTTTAATTATGTGTTGCAATTTCTCAGGCTTTTGAAGTGTGTTTCATCCTAAACATATTGAATTTTGATTATCTTACCTGTTATAACTCTCTGACTGGCATTTGTTTAGAAATTTGTGGTTAATGTCCAAACGAATCAAGGCTGAGAGTATCTATGACCAAAGTGCATTGTGGGTGTCTTAACCCCTCAATGTCTGGAATATTGAGTAAATATAGTAGAATTACTATGTTTTTAGAATAAATTATTGGCTAACAATAATATTTATGTAATAACATAATTGTACACAACAAATTAAATTGGCCCTCGCTAACATAGATCCTCCATCAGACCTCTGTGGAACTGGAAATCACAGATTTTAGATGAAAGTACTAATCCTAATACTCCATCTGGACCTTTTGAGGGCAGAGGGGGTTTGCTGTGAATTAACTCAGAGATTTAAACAAATGGGAAAACTACCAGCATGCAGTGTATGCTAAAACAAAAGTAACAGTATATTGAGACAGGGTTTCCCCCAGAAAATGTAATAAGCCTGGCGGGGGTGGGGTGGGGGGTGGGGGTGGGGGGGTTCGCAGGTAACCCTAGAGAGTCCAGCCACCCTGCGGAGAAAAGTAATTTCTGCCGCTTGTATACGCGATCTTGTTCTTTTGGTCACTGCTACTTTGCCTTCCGGCTCAGGGGTCTCATTTATAAAGCTTGCTTAAGCACAAATCAGGGTCGGAAAACTGCGTAAGCAACTTTCCACGCAAACTTTGGGATTTATAAAAGAAAACGTAGCGGAAAAATGTGCGCAACTTTAAGTTGACTAAGGACCTGGCTTATGCACATTTTGGACATGGAGAGCACCAGCTGCTGCTGAGAAGGATAAAATTATGAATTCCACCAGCATTATCACTTGTACTGCTTCATACATTCACAGAAAAAAAGCCTCCCGCTTCCTTGATCTGCGGTCGCCATCGTTAATGGTGGACTGCTGCAACGAGCCGGCTAATAAATATGCATGAGATCCAAAAGCCACTTTGCATTGACTATTTATGGCAGAAAGTGGGCGTGTTGAGGGCGGGATGTGACCCAGAAATAGCTGAGCACATTTCTAGGTAGTTTGTGATTTATGAAGTGGAGATTGCGTGAAGCCAGTGCTGGACTGACCATAGGGCATAGCGGGCAACTGCCCGCTGGGCCGACCCTTTCATCTTTTATGGGCCGGTGTCTGTTTTTTTTTTTTTTTTTTTTTTTTTCCTGGCCTCTAGTTGTTGCAGACAACTTGCCCGCACCGCCCCACGCGACGCCTCGTAAAAGTTGGTGGATTGGCCAATTGGTAATAATACACTCTGGGCTGGACCAATAGCCAGAGGTCTGATGCACCCGCCAGTTGTTTGTGAATCTCAGTAAACAGACGGACGAGCTTTACAAAATGGAGAACAAAAAACGGAAAGGAGGAGCGGAGAAAATTCGACTAAAAAAGAAACTGGCCCTTCAGGCTGATGCTGGCACATGTGTTAAAATCTCACAGTTGTTTGGTAGTGAAGGTTCAAGTAAGATCAATTTAGGAAGTGATGGAGCCTCAGCCCAGCGACAGGTTGGAGAAGAAAAGAGGGAGGAGGAGGAGAAACCCGAGCCGGTGTTGTGCCATAAATTGACTCGCTGCCAAAAAATGATTAGCCACCGCGGGATCGCGCACGGTTAGGTAATTGCATTTCTAGACAAAATTTCCCAGGATTTCGCCCTAAAACTCAGCATATCTAGCAATATGGACATTCAGAAAGCAAAGATAACCTCTTCCGGTACTTAAACAGATGTTTATCGCGGATATTAGTGTGGCAGTGTTTGTGGCAGCCTGCGCGGGAGCACGAGGACGTGCTTGTGGAAAGAGGCAGGAAGAGGTGGCTGTGTGAGCATCCACAATGTCCCGATTGATCATGCGCCCTGGCTACTTGGCCAAGTAGATGTCCCTTTGGCTGACTGGTTAGAGCGTATGACTTTCACCCGGGAGTCTGGGGATCGAATCCCGCCCGGGCACTCGTTTCTGCACCTTGCCACATTAGATTTTCCAGTTCGGAAGTTGTTTTAAGTGTTGCTATTTGTGTTAAACGTTCACAATGAGGATATATTAATCCTTTTTGCAATATTTGCGATTGAAAGATGGTTTGTGCCACAAACTTTGTGGTAAGAACTGGCTTTCTTTATGTTACAGCCTTGATACTAAAAAAATAAATAAACAATGTAAAATGGCACCCTGTATTGAATGTAAACGTTGTATAAATGGAATTAAACAATTCTCCAGCGATTTAATTTTTTCCCCTTCCTTTCTTTAGTCCACTTGACATGGAGCCACAGTTAACTAGTTTGGGGCACATTTTTTACTAGAAAAATAGTATTTAAACTGATCAAGCTTCGGCTTTAATGACACTGTGTAGTTTACTATCTATACATTACTTTGCTCTATTTAAAAGTAACAAGATAAAAGCACTTCAGCACATAAAATTAAGATTGTCACTTGCCAAATAGTGACTACACCCTCCCGTTTACCTATAAGAAACGCCTCAAAATATCTTTAAATTCTTTATTGATGATTTAATTGTAGACAACTAAAATGGCATTTTACTTGCCAAAAAGTGATTGAATCGCTAAGATTTTCATAGAGGCTAAAATTGACCAAATAAGGGTTTTATGTATTATCTGTTGATGTTACTGTACTCATACTGCCTACTGTGTCATCAAAAACACCCCAAAAATGGCAACAAAAAAAAAAGAAAAAAAAAGAAAAGAAGATAATTTCCCTTGCCAAAAATTGATTACAGTGTCCTGGTCACCTGTAAAGGGTTACATTTACCTAAATATTACTTTATTTATTATCTCTTGATGTTATTGGTGCCATCACAGGATGCCGGGTGTCTTTCACATTCATAAACACTTCAAAAATGGCAACAAATGATCATTTCCCTTGCCAAAAATTGATTACAGTGTCCTGGTCACGTGTAAAGGGTTAAATTGACCTAAATATTACCTTATTTATTATCTCTTGATGTTATTAGTGCCATCACAGGATGCTGGGTGTCTTCCACATTCATAAACACAGAGTCCTGGTCACCCATAAAGGCTTAAATTGGCATAAATATTACTTCATTTATTATGATGCTGGGTGTGTTCCACAATCATATTCGAATAAACGTGAAAATATTCTGTCCGAATATCTGTTTCTTGTTATAAATATAACAGCTAGAAGGATTTACAGTTAAAATAGGAGAAACACGTGACTCCCCAGGAAGGGTCGTAACACCACTTGCCTCATGCACATAAGTGAACAAAACAAAGCAGCATGGAGACACTCCGTCTCCAACCACCTCTCAGGCAGCAGCCTGCACTCCCAAGTTCTACACGTCACCAGAACATAAACAACCGCAACACAATAAAAGCAGTGTTATACAAAATGGAAGGCCTGTAGTGTTTATTCTCTTACAGTAACAACTTATCAAATTTTTGGAGGAATTTATTTGAGAATTTTTTGGTTTTTATTAATTGTGCAATAGAAAAGTAATCGCTAGATTAATCATCTAAATAGTCATTAGAATAGTCGACTATTCGATAAAATAATCGTCAGAATAATCATTTTAAAAATAATCAGTTACCCCCAACCCTACTTTTTAGAATACCAGGATAGGAAGGATGGTGTAGGTTTACGTTTATTAGATTGATACATAAATACTACCAATAAGAAAGTGTACGTTGGTGTGTGTCAGAAACAGCGTAAGGCTTAATGTCTTTTCCAAAAAAAAACAGGTGATGGGCCGGTCTCCAGTCAAAATGCCCGGGCTGAATTTTTGTCCCAGTCCAGCCCTGCGTGAAGCTGTACGTACTCCATGTTTTATTGGTCACAAACCTAGCGTGAGTACTTTTTTTTTTTGCTGAGCTTAAGTACGGTTTTAGTAAGGATTCTACGCAATGTTTTATAAATGAGACCCCTGCTCTCTCTTCACCACGACAGATTGGTACAACTCCCGCATCACTGTAGACGCAGCACCAATCCGCCTATCCATTTCATGCTTGATCTTTTCCTCACCCTTGAACAAGACCACGAGACACTTGAACTCCTCCACTTGAGGCAGGTCCTCATTCCTAACCCGGAGAAGGCATTCTACCCTTTTCTGACTCAAGATCATGTTCTCGAATTTAGAGGGGCTAATTCTCATCCCAGCTTCTTCACACTCGGCTGCGAACTGCTCCAGTAAATGCTGGAGATCACATTCCAATGAAGCCAACAGTTCCACATCATCTGCAAAAAAAAACAATCCCAAGGCCACCAACGCAGATCCCCTCAACACCTCGGCTGCGCCTAGAAATCCTGTTCATAAAAGTTATGAACAGAATCGGTGACAAAGGGCGGTGTTGGCGGACTCCAGCCATTACCAGAAACATGAATAAAGACAGTCATCAGTC